GAATAGCTGAGACTATAAGCATGCACCACCATGCCCAGCTAATTTCTCCTATTTCTGGTAGAGATAGAGTGTCACTTTCGCTCAGGCTAAACTGACCTCAAGTAATCCTCCTACCTCGGCCTCCCAGAGTGCTAAAATTACAGGGGTGAGCCACCACGCCCAGCCAACCAGTTTCCTTTTATGATTTAATCATTCTAGGCCAGGTGTGATAGCTCATCCCTGTAATCCTAGCACTCTGGGAGGCTGAGGCAGAGTTCAAAACCAGCCTGATCAAGAGCGAGACCTTGTCTCTACCAAAAATATAAAAAGTAGCCAGGCATTATGGCAGGTGCCTGTAGTCCCAGCTACTCAGGAGCCCAAGAGTTTGGGGTTGCTGTGAGCTGAGATGCCAGGGCACTCAACCCCAGGACACTCAACCCCAGGGCAACTGAGTGAGATTCTGTCTCAAAATTATTTAAAGATATATGTGCATGTGTGTGTGTGTGTGTGTGTATTATTTAGTCATTCTTTTTTTTTTCTTCTTTTTTTTGAGACAGGCTCACTCTGTTGCCCTTGGTAGAGTGCTATGGTGTCATAACTCACAGCAACCTCAAACTCTAGGGCTCAAGTGATTCTCTTGCCTCAGCCTCCCATGTAGCTGGGACTACCGGCACCCACCAAAATGCCCAGCTTTTTTTTCTTTTTAAGAGATGCGCAGACAATACACCCACCTCAGCCTCCTCTGTGCTGGGATTACAGACGTGAGCCACAGCACCGGGCCCCACACCTAGCTCTATTTTTAGCTCAGACAGTCCACCTGTCTTGGCCTCGAGTGCTAGGATTATAGGCATGAGCCACCGCGCCCGGCTTATTTAGTCATTCTTAATAAAAAATACTTGAAGAAAAAATACCTAAATGTTAGTAGTGCTTCTCTCTGGGACATAGGGTTGCAGATAAATTTTTTATTTTCTTCTTCATGTTTTTATTTGCTCCTGAAATTTTCTATAGAGGGAAAAAATAAAGGTCATAAAGATGTTAGATATAGATGCAAAAAAAAACCATTCTGAATGAAATAAAATTATGTCTCCCTATAGAACCCAGCAATTCCACTCCTGGGTACCTATCCCAGAGAAATGAAGTGTATGTCTGCACACTCATACAGGAACATTCATAGCAGCTTTATTCACAATAGCAAAACGTGGAAATAACCCACAGGCTCGTCAAATGGTGAACAGACCTACAAAGTACGGCCAATCCATACAAAGGAGTATTACTCAGCCATGAGAAGGGACAATGCACTGACACGTGGATGAGCCTCAGAAGCCACACACAAAAGGCCACACATTGTAAGGCAAAGCCATGGGGACAGAAAGTACTTTAGCGGTTGTCTAGGGCTTGGGTGGGAATGGGGACTGACAATGGGCATGAGGTTTCTTTTTAGGATCAAGTAAATGTTCTAAAATTAGATTGTGGTATTATCTAACAACCCTGTAAATATGCTACCATTTATTGAATTATACATTTAAATGTATGAATTTTATAGTCTATAAATTATTGCAATCAAACTGTTTTTAAAAATAATTTTAAAGTAAAAAAAAAAGAAACAGAAAAAATATAATTTTAAAGTAATAGGCCAGGCATGGTGGCTCACACCTGTAATCCTAGCACTCTGGGAGGCTGAGGCAGGTGGATTGCTTGAGGTCAGGAGTTTGAGACCAGCCTGAGCGAAAGCTAGATCTATCCCTACTAAAAATAGAAAAACCAGGCTCGGCGCCTGTGGCTCAATCGGCTAAGGCGCCAGCCACATACACCTAAGGTGGCAGGTTCCAATCCAGCCCGGGCCCACCAAATAACAATGACGGCTGCCACCAAAAATAGCCAGGCATTGTGGCAGGGGCCTGTAGTCCCAGCTACTTGGGAGGC